ATATGTATGTATGTATGTATGTATGTATAGGAAAATATATAAGTACTAATTGACGTATATAAAATTTACAGAGTTATATAGATATTTCTAAGAGCCTATGTATACATTAATGTAATTACAAATATATATTGTTGTACGTATATTGGTATACATTCATGTATGAATTATGTATATATTCGCGTTTTTATATCATTTCGTGATGTAGCTATTCTTTATAGTGCACTAGCAAGTCCCTTCATTCTACCTGCAAGCATTGTTGCCATCGAATTTTTTTCTGAATCCAAACGTCGAACAATCTCATGTGAGTGAGTGAATATTTAGTGTACGTCTTCAGCTGTAGAAATTAACTTATTGATATATTCATTCATTGTCGATATGTGTATATATGCATATCTTGCAACTTGTAGTTCATATTTATGTTATATTTCTTATGTTTGTCTTCATTTCTTCACATCATCAAGTGATTGTTGAGTAAATATTTTTATATCTTTATATTTGCTGTTCATATGTACCGTGTATCTATTTTTTTTGCCTTCATATCATCATACTCTGTTGTATTAATATCTTAGTATCTTCATATTTGCTGCTTATGTGTCTTATACTTATTATACTTGTCTTCATATCATCAGACTGTTTGCTGTGGTAATATCTTTGTATCTTTATAATTGCTGTTTATGTATCATATATTTATTATGTTTGTCTTCATATCATATATTACTCTTTGTTGTGGTAATGCCTTTGTATCTATATTTGCTGTTTATAGGTATCTCATATCTATTATATCCCCCTCACCCTTTCATATTCTCATACTCTTGCCCTGTTAGATTGATCCCACACTCAGTCTATGGCAAACTAGCGCTGTTGGTGAGTGCGTTCACTCTGTTGATATGGTGGCGTCTGTCAGTGGCTCAGTTTCGCAGGATGAGTTATGCAGACCAGCAGGTGAGTCACCCACACTCTTGCAGGGCAATGCTGAGTGTAATCCTCTGAGAATAACTAAATAACTGAAGAACTAAATGGCCAAATATCCAGATAACTAAATATCTAAATAGCCAAATAATCAAATAACCAAATAACTAAATAGCCCGAAAAAAAAACTATTTAACCAATTAACCGATTAATTAAATAGCCAAATAATAATAAAATATTATAACTAAATAACTAAATAGACCAAAAAATTAAATAACTAAATAGCCAAATAATAAAACAACAATATAACTAAATAACTAAATAGTCAAATAATCAAATAACCAAATAACTAAATATCTAAATAATTAGATAACTAAATAACCAAATAACCAGTCAACTAAATAACTAACTAACCAAATATCCAAATAGGTAAACAACTATATAGCCAAATAGCCAAATAACAAAATAGCCAAAGAACCAAAAAGTGAGGGTTTAGGGCCATACCTTTACGCATTGGCATATATTGTGAGCCAAGTTGTGCTTCCTATCCTGTCCTGTGAACACACTTTGGCCACTCAATCATTTCTGTTTCTGTTTCGTTTCCCTTCGCATCGCCACAGATCTCTACCCACGGATTGGACACTCAATCGTCGGCAACGCAGCTGCTGCGATTGCTTATCAGTGAGAGCAGACATGAAAGGTATGTGCATGCGACGTACGCAGAACGGGCAATGACGGGTAGGCTGTATAGTCTCTAGCTGACATGTGAGCTATATAGTTTTATAGTTAAAGCATATGGTTCATATAGTTTTATAGTTGACATATGGTTTATGTAGTTGTATAGTTGTTATATGGTTTATATGGTTTTTTAGTTGACATTTGGTTTTATAGTTGACATATGGTTTATGTAGTTGTATAGTTGTTATATGGTTTATATAGTTTTTTAGTTGACATTTGGTTTATGTAGTTTTATAGTTGACATATGGTTTTTATAGTTTTATAGTTGTCATATGGTCATAGTTTTATATTTGACATGTTTTATATAGTTATTTAGTTCACATATGGTTTATATGATTTTATGGATACGGTTTATATAGTTTTATAGTTGACATGGTTCATATAGTTTTATAGTTGGACATAAAGATTATATAGTTTTATAGTTGACATATGGTTTATATAGTTTTATAGTTGACTTTTGAGATACTGAATTCCCGCACACGTGTTCAGTGCAATGGTTGCAGGGTTTTAGGGTTCTAATAGTTGCCACAGTCAGTTTGTTCGTCTTGTGCCATCGAAATGTTTCATATGAGGTGGTCTTCGCAGATTTTATGCCAGTGATGTCAACGGGTGTGTACAGTGATTCCGTTAGGCTCAGCACAGACAACAAAGATTAATAAGCATTGAGCTTAAATATGTTAAGTGTTTCAGCATGAGGAGTATCCACACACACACACACATATATATATATATATAGTGTAGCATTGAGCGTGAGGAAGTGTATGGGCAACCGCACCAGCTAACATAGTCTCATGCATCTCATAATTTATGGCTGCGATAATTCGGCTACACACCCACACACTCGACGCCTCGACCATCCCCCACCTGTTTCAAGTGCACACAGTACCGTGTGCCTGGTGCAAGAAACCAACCAGCGCATTAACGACTTACAAACACTTCTGATTGGATGTTGTCCCTCGTGTCTCTCACCAAACGACTTACAAACACTTCTGATTGGATGTTGTCCTTCGTGTCTCTCATTCAACGACCTACAAACACTTCTGATTGGATGTTGTCCTTCGTGTCTCTCATTAAACGACTTACAAACACTTCTGATTGGATGTTCTCCCTCGTGTCTCTCATTAAACGACTTACTTTCAACCACTTGTGATTGGATGTTGTCCCTCGTGTCTGTGACCCCACAGGTTAGTGTTCATGGCGCAAGTGCAAGCCAACATCACGGCACTCACAGCAAAGTATCTGCACCACACCACCAAGCTCATCTACGGCCCAGTGGATCTGCAACAGATCAAGTCATGGACTGACAAGATGGTAGGTATCGTATCTTCGTCTAAGGGTTTAGGATTTGGGATATACCAGCAACCTTATCGACGGCCCTGGGTTTAGGGTTTAGGGTTTAGGCTTCAGCCCATGGAGTGACAAGATGGTGCGTAACAGTGTATTGAATGTTGCCAGCGATGGTATGTGATCTGCAGAGATGATATCACTCTCTCCCATTGGGCCACATATAGGTGTAGCCAGTGGTGCGTGTGCTGCGCGTATGCTCATACATCGGATCAACTGTATGCGATGTGCATTTTTGGTTCAGCTGAGTGTTTCCGTTGAAGGTAGACGCGCGAATCTCGGACCAGCACTTTCATTCGTTCGTCCTGATGGGATATATACGTTCTAAAATACCTACACACACACACACACACACACACAACACACATACACACACACACACATTATATATATATATATGTATATATATATGCTAGTAGCTACTATTAACGTACCATTAACATCACTACCCTGGCGTGTCACATGCATGCTAGTAGCTACTGTTAACATGCTCTCCTGTCGTCCATGCGTCTGGCACAGAACTACTTCCACCCCGTACTACCCACTGCTCATTCATTGGAATGTGAAGCCCATTCGCCGGGGCTATTGTCTGTGACTGACAGACACAGCCGGAAGTATTGCTTTGGCGCCACTACTTTAAAAGGCAATAGAGTGTGTGATCGCAGCGAGCCTTCGTACATGACAGCCGACACAGGTGTGTACTGTTTGTGTGGTTGGGGGGTTTTTTTTTGCTTTTTAATGTCTCTGTTGATGTGTTATACAATATGTGCAAGGTGTTGATACATG